AATGTTTCTTCATCTCGACCATTAATGATCCATCAAATCAAGACTTGAATCATCTTAATTAACTTATAGATCTAGAAGCAAATTTTATTGAATATGGGCTTCGATCAGCACCATAGCATTGTTTGTTTCTTTTTTTGTTTGTTTGTTTGAACAGTGTGTCAATAATGTTACTAAACAGAAGAATACCATAAGAATATCAATCATGGAAGCTGCACGTAAGAGTGTTTGTACTATTCGATATTAAATCCTACTTTATGAAAGTACTTGTCATAAAGAAAAAAGAAAAATGAGTTTCTTTATGAGCGATTTTCTTTAATACAATATCCAATTTTGTTTTTTTTATCAATGCTAATTTGATAAGAATCTTATCCGTAATAACTATGGATTCATCAATATTATCGATTATTTTCATCAACATTTGCAGTTTTAATGCATATCAAGCAGAAGATAAAAATACTTATTCTTTTTCTTCCTATAGGTTCTATGTGTTGCATCGATCAGATGAAACAAATCAGCCATAATAATAATTATTTTTGACACGAAAATTTATTTTTAAACCAGTTCTAATGATCTACAATGTCGGAATTTCATTGTATGCACGCAAAAAGAAATATTTCATGTTATAAAACATGACATTGACTTGGCAAAATACTGATAAGATTAGATTAATTCATCCAGATTAAAGATTTCTATAAGTTATTGTCCAAGAAAGCAAACTAATCAAAAAATGAAAGATGCATTTATATCATCAACTTGTTTGGATAAATAGTTCTTTAAAAGAAATCTTCTACAGTTATCATATTTCTTTATTTTAAATCATACTAATTTAGTTGTTTTCTATAATAACATGAACTATATATATATATATAAGATTTCTCAAAAGGATTCTATTTTTTCAGATTGAAGAATGTTCATTATCTGAAACTAATCTGCAACTGAGAATATATAAGTAGAATATTGAAAATATGACAAGAAAAATTTAAATGATCTAGTTTAATTAAAGATGAAAAAAAACATTTTTCTTTCCTGTTCTCAAAACCTTGCATGTGCATGTTTAGTAATTCTAGCTTATTGACAATGCAAACAAACATAACTAACTAACAAAGTAATTGATACATGTAATCCTTATCGAACTTTCTGTATCTTAATTATATGAATTTTTTTATGTCATTTGTATAGCTACTCAATAAGCTTCTGAGAGAAAATATCTAGAACAAATAAAATAATAAATAAATAAAAGTAATACAGACAAAAAATTTACTTTGTCACTCACTCAATTAGCTATAATTATGGGCATGCATGAACATAAAAAAATAGAACAAAATGACGAAATGAATTCTTTTCTTAATACTGAAAAATAAAAAAATAAAACAATTATGCATTATTTAATAACATAGACTTCAAGATGTTGTTGCTCACTTTGTGACTAATGAGCGATAATTATCTCGTTTCTTTTATGCATATAACAATATAACGAACCATGTTTCATCTATATTAATAATTATTATCAAAACATTTATAATAAATAACAGTTTTTTTTTATGGTACGAGTGATTTGTTTTTAATAATATTTATTAAACGAAAAATAACAATCGTCATCGATGTATTTTGAATAAATCTGGATAGAATTTAACTATATTACTTAAAAAAAATAATGGATCATAGAATGTACTTTTTCTTTGAACTAAATTATGACTTGTTTATGCCTTAGACAGAGACGTATATATAGCGTATGCTGACATAATAGTCAATATTTGTAAATGGTGGGTCAAAGTTACCTGATTATGATTCGTTTATCAATAGATTATGATAATGAAAAACTAACAACTGACAGGTGTGATTTTTCTTATTAAAATACTTTTATGAAAATATAAATTTACATAAAGCTATGCGAACTATCATAATTATTATAATCGTTTGTTTCTTGATAAGAAACTAACTGTCAGGTTTAGCAAAATTGCTTTTCTATGTTCTTTTGCTTGTTCTTTTCTTTTTGGATTAATAATATGTGATGAAATGCTTCTTTAATAAATAGAATAGATTAATCTGTCGATTGAATTATTATCTTTATTGAGAAATTTATCAATATAAGAATCTTTAAAAAAGAAAAGAATTCTTATCTATACTACTTTTAACAAGTGTTACATTACTGTTATCTATATATAAGGAAGTACCAAAAGAAAACACATTTATTTTCTATGTTCACACGAGAAAATATATCCGTAAGGCACTAGTAATTACAAAGGATTTTCTGACCTTAATAAGAGACAAAAAAACAGAGAGAAAGATAGAATAATATATTCTCTTTCTTTTTGCAGCAATTTCAAATAGATGACGTCGTTTATTTGACAAAATGAACAACTGAGAAGTTTTCTTTTTCTTTCCCTTTGAGCTCGTATTTACACACCTACACAGTTAACAAAAAAAAATGAGTAATAATAAATCGCAATTTTTTCATATGACAGTTCGTCTTTTTCTAAGGTGTTGTTCTTTTTTGGTCTCTTTTATTTGATATTTACGGTTGATCAAGCTATTAATATTTCGTGTAATTTAATGCATTTAATAATTGTTTTTTACGCTTATTTCTGCATACATTATGATTTCATTAAATAAAAAATAAAATTCAAAGGTAAACATATTTATTTTTGTTTTTTTTCGTTTTCTTTTAATATTCTTTTTCAAGTATTTCGACAAACTTTCACTGTACTTTTTTTTTTCTAATCAAGTCTTAAATAATATGCGCGAAACAGTAAAATATATTGAGTAATTTATTTGATTGGATCATCAAATTTATCAAGAATCGGTAACTTTTTCTTCTATGTTCTTTTTTTTTCATGATACTTGTCTGAAAGAATTCTAGCGCCAACAATAATCATATATGATAGAAAGCAAGTAACATCATTTGATCATGCGCTATGTCATAAAATGAATGCATGCTTTTGTATTCATAATGAAATGCAAACAGAATTGAGTCTGCTCTAAAGCAGCATTGTCATTAGATAGTCGAGAATATTGTTAAACATAACTAGGAGTACTACTATAATAGCGGAAACTGAGTTTTATTTACGAAGATATTGATTGGTAGTTTTTTTTCATTAAAATATGATACTGTCTTAGGATTGTTTTTTCTTCTGTTAACATTTCGATGAATAACATATGATGACTGAGCAATTATTGGTTTGTATTAATTTTTTTTATTCAAAATTTAATATGATAGAATTTTTTATGATATTAAAGTAAAATATTATTATAAATTTATAGAATAGAATGTTTTTAATTTTCAAAAAAAAATATATAAATTAATTTATGTAAATTCAAGTAAATAATTTTCTTTTAAATCAATGTTTCCAACCGATAGAAAATTCTTAATTCTGCATATCACCATATGCTAACTGTTTTTCCTGTTCAAACTATTTGTCTTTTAATTATATGAATATTAAGGAAAATATTGTTTTAAATAGTTGTAAACAATAGTTTGCACTGAAGAATTTACATCAATTTTCTGTTGCTGAATGAGACAACTTTCTTTTTGGTCTAGAGTTTTTTCCTATCATTGACATTCTTGATCGCTTCGTATCTTAATGGGTATGCACTACGCGATGTGTTTTCTTGATACCAATGAGAACATCAATGTGCGTTGCTTGCTCGTCTTCTTTTTTTTTTCTCTTTTTCTTCGCTTCTTTTTTTTTCATCACACAAAAAAAAGAAGAAACAGCAGTGCAACATACAGAAACTCGACGGCAACATGAAGATGAGACAACAAACATAGAGTTGTAAAGAGTTTGAAACGCATTTAGATATTTGGTGACAACGATCTATGAACATTAAAAAGTTATTATGAAATAGACGACGTTTAATTTTGATAGACATCCATCATTCTCACGCGATAATCTTCCACTCCAACATCACATGAATTCTACTGGTAAGTATGAATAAACTGTAAAATAAATATTTTTATTCGAAAAAAAAGAGTTTCCTGATTTTTTCCTTCGGTTTTGTTTGATTCTTTTGTTTTGTGTTTAACTGTGTTTATTCGATTACTCTTTTAAAAGAAAATGAAGCTATAACAATAGTAAATTGTCAAATTAGATATCCGATGTTGTCTTATTTTCTCAAGTAAGCAGTTTGATTCTATTAGTCGATCGATAAGAATACGAAATATATATAATTTATTCGAAATGCTTTTCATTTGTTCCGGATGTATGTAAAATATTTTTTGGCTAGGTTAGAAAATTTTTATATTTATATTGCATAAAGAAACTCTTCCATTTCCTTTATCAAATATCTCTTCATATAAAATTATACAATAAAATATCTAATATAACTATCGTCTAAGACAGTTATAATGAGATGTATTCATAAAGTAGAAGCAAACGGATGTTTGAATGACTCTATAAAAAAGCTTTTAGATTTTATTTTATTTTTTATTTTTTTGCTTGATATAACTACTTAGTTGGTATGTTTTGAAATGAAATTCATTTCAATGTATTGACAAAATAGTTAGCGCTTGCAGAGTAAGTAAAGAAATGAAAAGATCTTTAAAAAAAACTAGAAAAAAGAAAAGTTTTTTTTTTTTTGACGATCGTCAATTTGTTTCTGTTTTAATGCATGAATGAATTCTTCATTTTATTTGCATGGATTATTTATACGTTGTTGCCTGTGGAATTAATAACGAAGTGAGTTGGCAAACATTATCGAGTAGGAGTATGTCAATGTAAGGATTATAAGACACAATCGCCAATCGTTTTTCTATAGTCCCCAGATACCATTACCCACCTACTCGTTTGATTCTTAAAAAAAGAGGTATCTTTACTGATGGAGGCGTAAGCTTAACAAAAAGAAAAAAAAATCATTTTATTTCCATTTGGCATCCTATAGATTAATAAACAACAAAACAACAATCAAAACGTTTATATACTTAGATTTTCATTAATATGAGTTAAACAATGATCATCATCGGTAAAAGATGGGATCGATTTATTAATAAATCAATTTGAAACATGTCAACAAATGTTATTACAAAACAAAATTCAACAACATCGACGAGCAACACATCGAATACATCATATCTTTCAATGATGACACCTAATGTTCCTAGTAATAATATCACAAATACTAGCACTAATAAACGACGTGAAAGTTCAACTGGTGAAGATTCCGTAAGTGAGAAATCGAATAATTTATGTTCAGTAAATACAAATAAAAAGAAGAAGCCTAGTTTACTTTATTATGCGATAAAAACACCCTAGTTAGATGATTGCTTGCCTGTTTACTAAATCATTTATTCCGATCGGATGAGCAACGCGCCCGGAAATCGGTAGAGAGCAGCGCCACCATAGATGAATCAAGGATGTGCGTCGTTTCTTCCGGATTTTCTATCTTCTCATCTGTGCATACAGAACACGACAAGGTCAAATCACGCGCATCCGCAAGATAGCTAGCACACACACATACAGACACACACCCTCATTGCGAATTCTCTCAATCGATCAGCAATTAATGTACTCGTCATCTCATAAATAGGATTAGGTTTTTTTGATGAAGGCTAAAACGCATCTATATAAATATGTGGGTGGTTTGTTTTTTCTTGTATACTGCAGGAGATCGTTGCTGTTTATAATGACAATCTTATTTTGTTGTTTTTGAAAGTGTGAATAACATGTACATAAGATTTAGAGCCTCTCATCTTGTGCTCTTATTGATGATGAGTGAATTGATAGGATAAGATAGAATATAATTATATTTGTATATGCATATCCACGTTGAGACACAATACTATATATATATGTGCTTGTGTATTCACTCAATAGGAACAGCCATACATGTCGTCTCAATTCGAATAAGGTATTGCGATAGACAAAAACAAAAGAAAATGAGAATAAATGAAAAATCCTTGTTTTCTCTTTTTTTTTGTTTTTCTTTCTTTTCATTCGTATTTTTTTATTCATATTAATCACTATGACATAGAGAAACTCAACAGCTGTCTTATCTGATTATAATCTAAACGATTATTGTTACTTCAATTATAATTATAATGATTCCTATTATATTTTGATGGCATCACGTGAGAATAAATTAATAGTATTTGTTTTAAGTTTGTCTTGTTTTTTCGTTAAAATGAACTATTTTTAATCATATGAAATTTCATATTAGTATTATATTAATAATATATTGTTAATCTATCTATCGAATTAGTTCACAGGGTTATAATGACCTTCATTGATCTATAGTTTCTACTTTTCTCTCTATGTTACATGTTATACTTTTATATTAATAAGTTCAAAGAAGAATTAAGCTAAATATTAATCTTTTATGGCGAATATAAAGTACTAGTTTGTAGAGAAATGAGATAAATACTTTTATTATGCTTATTAAAAAAGATAAATATGTGCGTGTTAGGTGAAATACAGCATTCAAAGAAATGTCAATATGAACTTTGTTTTCAATTGAAACAATCGGAAAAAACATCACAACTATTTTCACGATAGAGTTCATAATTAAGATTAAAAAAAAATGTTTTTTATTTTATTTTTTATTTTTTTTAATATTATTATTCACTTGTCATATTGGGAATTTTTTGTGAACTATATTAAGCAAGTAAATGTTGTGAACATATACATGCGTCATCAATAATTATAGAATAGGAAGATCAGACAGTTATTGTCGAAATATTCTCTTGAGGCAACCTTTGTCTATGATTATTATCAACAAGAAGACTACTGAATCTCGCGCATATATAGTTCCTCTTTTTTTTCTCGTTTTCTTTTTCTTTTCTTTTTAGCCCAAATAAATGATTCTGAAATCCATCAGTCATATAACACAAGGTTATTATCATCAAAACTAATGCCTTAAGGTTGAGTTCTACTATAGTTCACTGAAGAAAATATGTCTCTTGTTATATATTTAATCCTTGTGTGTGCCCGAAAGTCAAACTAATGTTTATAAAATATAGACTGATGTTATTGTTTTTCTAAAAACTTTGCCATTTGTTACTAGCTCATTATCAGATATTGTCTCTCCTTCAAATCAAGGTCTTCCTATTTTCTATTATTAACTTTCGTATATAATACAGAAGAACTTTTTTTTCTCTAATAATAAAAATATAAGAAGAAGGAAGTAAGAGTAACTTTTAAGATTGCTCTTAAAGACAAAAAAAAGTCACATACACCTATATATGATGAATCATACATGTTTTTCAAGTTTCATACTTGTGAAAAGCATGACAATCGTTGTTGCACATAGATTTATTACCAAATATCAATTTTATTCATTGTTTTTTTTTTCTTTTGAGTCATCACTATTATCTCAAGGACTTCTCTGTAAAGTTTGTCATATATATATATGTTATGTTTCTTTTTTTATTAATGAGATGAACTGATGTTGTAATTATTATTAGAGATTTACGTCATGCATTGAACAATATATAATGATTTCTTGCTGACGTCACTATCTAGTACGACTACGACTGACAGAGAAAAACGAAAGACCTTGTTCGCTCGTCCTGGCATGCGTTAGTATATATAAATATGTAAGCAAATGCTTTGATTTCTTTCTATTGATGGGCTTACATGTGACGTCGATTGTCCGTCGCGCGGTCGATGATGACGTCGGCAAGCGAAGAGAATGAGCGCATCAAAGGAAAGACGACATATAGATTATATACATGCGCGCTTAAGCTTGTATTCGAGTACTGAAGCAAGAGATAGTTTTTTAGCCAATGATCATCATTGGAAGAAAAGAACAGAACTGTGACGTCAAACTGATGCATTTGTTTTCCTTTCTAATGTAATCGCATCTTCATTTGAGACAAAGTGCGTACGCGAAACACAAGCACATTTCTTTTTTTATCTCTAAGTCAGATTTACTTTATTCGTTTATTTTCCTTCTTTTTTTAATAGGGTGTTCAAATAGATCACGATAGTATAATTAAAAGTGCTCATTTGTCAATAACTAATTCATCAAATATAGTGCCTTCTTTATTATTGTCATCATCATTGTCAACGTCAAAAACAATCGGCACAACGACGGCGCCGAATCCCAATTCCGTAACTACTTTTAGTAGCAATACTACGATGGTCACATCATCGACTCTTATTCCACCTTCTGTGGATACTAAAACATCATCATTATTACCTCGTAAAACATCAAACGCATCAAGTTCAGGTACCTTTTCTGAAGTATCTCGTTCATTTGGTCATGAAGAGAATTCTGCCGATTCATTATATGGTTTAACATCATCATCATCATCATCACATTATGTTATTAAATGTACTTTAAATACAACAACAACAACAGCAACACCAACAATAACTAATACAAATACGTCGTTGACGTCGACTACGTTGCCAACATCACCGCCACCGGTGATATTAACACCACGTGTTAAAGTAACTGTTCAACAACCATCAATAACAACATCATCATCATCACGTATTGATTCATCAGCTGAATCAATTCTATCATCATCATTTCTTAAAACTCCAACATCTAATATTATACCTTCATTTTCATCATCACACATGACAACAAGTACAGCATCGAGTGCACCTGAATTTTCTATAAGTGGTGCATCAAGTATTGATGATTCTGAAGAACTAGCATTATATGAACAATATCTTTCAATATCTTATGGACGACAATCAAATCCTTCACCTGAAATACGTAAAAAAACTGTTGACGATGTAGCTAAAATACAACAACGAATATTACCTCGTAGTAAAAGTGAAGTAAATACTATACCAATAGAACAATCACAATCACAACAACAACACCACCACCAACAACAAATAACAACTAGTCAAATAAAACCGGTACGCAAATTTTCTTCTTATGATCTGGCATTTTGTTAGATTATTGTTGTTAACCTTCTAGACTATGTTATTGTCTCATTATTAATGTCAGAAATCTGATTGATAGACAGATATCATGATTTCAAATATTCTCATTGTCTTCATTGTATGACTAAAAAAAGGAAAAAAACTCATTCATTAACATTAATATAGAAAACTAAAAATACTAAAATATGAAAAAAAAAATATCATGCTCTCCAGATAATTCAATTAGTATTTTCTTATCCAGTAAGCATATATTTCATGTTAGGAACGTCTTATAAATAGAAAAAAAAGAGAAGACGACATCGATGAGAATCATGCATCGACTATCAAGTTAATCCGCTTCATTCTTAGATTGTTTTCAATTGAGACTATGGTGTCCTATTTCCGGGCCAAGGAATGATGTGGTATTTTTTTTGTTGGTTGTTGCCCTATGGCAAACAACAAGGAAAAAAAGAAAAGAACGAAGAAAACAACACAATGGTGATAATCATTAGAAACTATTGCGACGTTCTTCTACTTTGGTCTTAAGCATTTCTCTCGTTTTTATATTGACAAAATGTATCAATCGATTACATGTGTCAACTTCCTTGGAGACCTCTCTGTTCTCACACACACATATATACTCTGTCTTTCTTCAGTCTACTCGCTTTCTTTTCCCTTACTTACTCTTCATCGAGTTTTCATATAATCGCACACCCCCATAACTTTTTAATTCGCTTCGCAGGAAGAACGATAGAACATAGTGCAGCAGCACGCCGTTTGTTGTTTTTCTTGCATGCGAAAGCAAACGGACGTCGAGTCTTCTACATTATAGCAGTACTTCTTTTCTTTCTTCTTCGCTTGCATCGTTGCCGTCACCATCATCATCATCATCGTCGTCGTTATTTTATACTCACCCAGCTACACATACATCATATAAATGATCAGCAGTTGAAAGAGTTGAATAGCAGATAAAAGTCGTCGCAGGTCGACGTTTTTTACCTACGTATATGTTCGATTTTATTTTGTCTCATAACGTGTGCTGGAAACACATTCAAATATTTGAAATGTCATCATTACTTCATTTTTATCGAACACGTTCAGCTACAACGATCAATCAACTAAAACCTTTACAACATATACGTTCACGTAGTCCAGATGATGTTTTACTTCGAAGAACGGTAATCTATTCTTAAGTTTGTAAGAATACCCTACGGATTGAGTTTTCTTTTTTTCTTTCGTTATCCATATGTATTCTTTCTCATCAGTTATTATTCTTACAAATATAGTTTATTTGTAAAATTTGAAAGGATTGTAACAAATGACACATTAAGGTTTCTCATTTAGTTGAGGAAGAAGAGAAAAAAGAAGAAAAAAAAATAGTAATAATTTTTCCTTTTTAGTTTTTTTTCTCACTTGAATGAATATGTTCTCATTTGGTATGACTTGTCGTAAAAATGAATTTCAGGTGAATAATTTGTTGTTTTTCCTTTTCATGCATATAAACTATTAATAAAAAAAATATAGGTTATTTTTGTAACTTAATTCAGTACATAAATATTGGTATCCATAAAGAAAAAGAAAAAGAAAATATAAAATTATAAGGATCTTAATCCTCAACGAATTCAAATACAATTTTATGTGCTCTATTTGAGTGAAAAATATTATTTCATTAGACATTTTCTCATTTATGTAAAAAAGTAGAAAAAAATAGTTCATGACTTTTTCTTATCAATGAATTTATTTTTGCATACCATAATCGCACTACATTAAGTTATTTTTTGTTAAATTATCGTTGTTTAGGTTAGAAAACCAGATGTACCTATTAATATTATATTACCTGAACTAAAGAAAAAAAAAACATTGCTTTTCTTATTCAGAAAAATTAATTATTAAATCAATTGAAAAACGATAGTCATTTCTTACTTGGTATGTTTAAGTCGCATGTAAACAGAGATTTTCTTTATATTTCTTTTTTGACATTTCATATAATTAACTAATAAGCTTTAGTAAATGAATATTTTCTTATGAATAGAATAAAGTAATGATTAAGAGGACAGAAAAAAAACCTTAAGTACTTGAGTTTTAATTATGATGAAATACCTATAATTATTATGAACTATAGAAAAGTGCTATTTTATACACGTATAAGAGTTGCATAGAAAAAAGAAGAGAGGAAACCTATATTGAGCGAGCAATATGATGACGTCATTGGAGGCTCTTATTACATATGATACGTGAGAGAAACATAGAGGCCAGCGATGACGTCGATGTATATGCGTGTAAGTAAATGTTCAACGTTTCGCTCTCGCATACTCTCTTGAAGAGAGCTATAAAAATAGAATAAGAGCGAGAGAACAAATGCAGTAGACTATATCGATCACTACAACCATCATCACTATAAATGTATAATACTACACAAGAGATTGTTTAGACGAGTGCCTTCATATAGACGTATGTATATGAATAAATGAAACTTGAGCAAAGACGATTGATTATATTTATTTATTTTGATATATTTTTTTTTTATTCTAGGAACCAACGTCATACATTAGTGAAGACGACGATTCAACTAATCGTGTATCAACAACAAGTAATTCGACAACAACAGATATGACAAAAAAGAAAAAATCTAAAGCAGCAACAATGTATGTTAAGCAGTTGTCTTTTTTCTTTAGCATAAATAAACGATTAATTTCTTTATAAATAGTGCAAAAGATTTTAAATCACGTGCAGCTAATTTAATACGGCGTCGTACAACAGAAGCAACATTGTCAGAAAAAAGTCATATACCATCACGTGAAGATGTTCAATCATGGGAAGAATCATTTGATGCACTTTTACGACATCGATGTAAATTTTATTTTTCTTATTTAATATTTTTTACCGTTTAATCTTAATTAGATGGACAAGCTTTATTTCGTGCTTTTTTACGTACTGAATTTAGTGAAGAAAATCTTGAATTTTGGCTTGCATGTGATGAATTTCGTACATGTAAAGAACCAAAACGATCTGCTAAAGCAAAAAAAATCTATATGGATTTTATTGCTATTGGTGCCCCAAAGCAGGTAATATTTGTCTTGTTTAGTAAAAATAAAAATAAAAATAAAAAAATATTTTCTTTTAGGTGAATCTTGATACGGAAACACGTATGTCAACAATAGCTAATATTGATAATCCACCATTAGAAACATTTGATCGAGCTCAAAGACGTATTCAAGGTTTAATGGAAAAAGATTCTTATCAACGTTTTCTTAAATCTGAATTATATATAAATTTATTACGTCGTACAACATATCCAATTCAACGACGAACAACAACAGAAATGACATCAAAATCATCCTGACACGAGCAATACAACAGATTATTACTTGTTGATTCTGGTTGCTCGTTCATCATTATCTTCTCTTCCGTCAATAGAATATCATGCGGCACCGGCTGCCAATATATATATATATATATCTACAGAAGACGCTGATTGTCCGCTCGGTTTCATCCGTGTATCTAGTCAGAAGAGAGGAACAGAACTATATGTATGTTTTTTTTTACGCAAAAAGAAAAACTAGCGAGCCTCAATGGCTACTGTCTCTCTGTGTGCAAAAGAAAGTTTTTTTTCTCTTTTTCTTTTTTTTTTCTTTTTTTCTTTTTTACTTGTGTCGTTATATTCTTCTTTACCTGTGTGTGCGTATGCATATGAGAACAGAATATGGATGAGAAAAAAGACTTTAGTTGATTAACGAAAGAAACAAAAAAAAAACCGTTTTATTTTGAATATGCAAATGAATATCTTTCAATTGTATGTATGTAAAAAAAAATACATTTGAAATTAATACTTGTAAATAGTTTTAGTCATATTAAATGAAGATATTAATTTAGGTCATTGTATTAACAATTAATGTACTTAAAAATATATAAAAAATTGAAATAATATGATAAGGACTTTGAAATAATCTTTTATTTGAGAGTTTATGAGTTTTCAGTAGGATAAACATAAATGATGAAAGTGTCTTGTCTCCTAGGAAATTAAATATTACATTGTATAAATCACAAGTTAATTAGCCATAAACAAAAATTAAAAATAACGGCAGTCATCTTGAAAATCATTGATCAACAAAAAAAAGTCATGGATTATGATGATGATGATTCATAGAAAAAGAAAACAAATCTGTTCTGTCAGAAAAAGAGAAAAAATTTAAAGTAAACATTATTTGTCATATTTAACTATTTTATCTTGTTCGATGGAAAATTGTAACTAAAATTGAAGATTTATCTATATAATGACTGATTTTCGTTGTAATAAAAGAGATTTATATAATTACTGCTGATGGTGATATTCACTTTCATCGAGTTTTGCATTTGGATGTATAAGGTGGTGGAAAAACGTTTAAAAGCAACAAATTTTAATTTTTTTTCTATAATGTTAAACATTGAGCTCAAATCCAGCTAATGATTATAATAGCCAATGGAATTATTCATCTAATGCATTCTTTAGTAAGATTTCATAGGTGAACTATGATGGCAAGGTTTCTAAAACATTCGACATCATAGTTTTCAGGTTTCAGAAGATTATTCTTTTAACGATCCAATTTTAAAGAGCACAAGATTATAAAAAAACCGAGAGGTCACGGACTTTTCTATGTTAGAGCTTTAAAAGCATCGGAAAAACCGAAAAAAAGTGAGTTTTAAATATATTTCGCTCGTTGACGATTTTTGTGATACTGTTAACTTTTTAAGTGAAGGTTGTAGACAATGTGCTGACCCATCATTTTGTTCATAGTTTTGCGCTCTTCAAAATAGCATTGCTACAAAAGAGCTCTAATAAAGTTGTCTGGAACCTGAAAACTACCATGTTCGATTTTTTTTTTAGAAATCCTACTGCCATAGTTCATCTATGAAATCTTGATAAAAGAACACCTCATTAGCTATTAAAATAACTATTTAGATTTAAGCTCGATGCTCAACATTATGGAAAAACACCAAAAATACGTTGTTGTTGTTGAGCTTTTTTCAATGACCTTATATTTGTACACAGAAATTATTGTTTTTTTGTTTTGCTGAAATTTACAAATATTCATCTTGTTGATTTAACAATTTTGCCTTTTTATTATAATATTGGAAATAAATAGTTAAAAACTTTTTATTCAACAGGTAGACAACTTGAATATTATATCCAATTCAATGCTAAAATCAATTTAGTTCTAAAATCTTATCGATAGAGTTCGCCCTATACATATATATATACTAGGAATCCATTGGTTGCTAATAAACGCCATTAAATACCTAACCGCTATCGACGATGATTCGAACAAGACGAAAATCTGCAAATATTCTATTTTATTTTTAGAGAAATAACAATTATGTGATACAATGCAAGCATTATTTCAAACAGCATATCCCTCCAATTCTAGTACATCCTCAAATATCTCAAATTCAAATCAAATGTCTTCAAGTTTAACAACTCCATCAACACTTGAACTTCTATCAAATGAATTTTTTGATTATATTGAAACACATCGTGAAAAAATTCCATTACTTATTATAGTTTATATATTAACTATTATTTGGATTATTTATCTTATACTATATCATTCACGTATACAGGGTATTATATTATCATATATATTAAGACGTTTCTATTTTAAAGATGCAACACAAATGAAATTTGATTCATTTTCAATATCATTTATATCTGGTTCAATCATGTTTAGAAATTTACATTATACAACAGGAAATTATTTTGTTTGTGTTAGAGATGGTTGTTTAACTTTTCGTTATTGGTCTAGAATAAATAAGAAATCAGTAATACGCTTAAGAATAAAACTTAATCATGTTGATATACTATTTTGTACTCCAATTCGTTCAAATACAATTTCAGAAACAAATAATTTAAATGATGATTTACACAAAGGATTAATTCATGGGTAAAAATAAAGCAAAGCTAATCGATCGAATATTTTATTTGAATATTTGTTCTTTTTTTTTTTATTTAAAGAAATTCAACAAAAACGGATGATACACAAAGTGTAAATACAGTTAAAGGTAATGAAGAAGGTTTTCTTGTTCAAAGTCTTCGAAGTCTTTTTCCAGCCATTGAAATAAAAATCCAACATGTTCGTTTATTTCATCTTTGTTTGTTTTTGTTATTGTTTTGCTTCTTGTTTTAACAGGGTCGAATATCTATTCGACATAATACATTACCATATAGTTTATCAATGCGTTTTAGTACAATGACTAGTATATTTACAAGTGAATCGCCATCAAAATATGCTCCACAAATTGATCTGATGACACTTATTTATAGTTTAACATATAGAAATCTTCGAATACAACTTTATCGAAATGAATCTTATCAAGGAGAACAAAATGACATGTAAGAATTTGTCGTTTTTTCAAAAAAAATTTTGTTGTCTATATGACAAAACAAATTTTGAACTATTTTTTCGATTTCATTGAAGTGCTTAAAGCAGGAAGCTTGATACTTTGCTTTTTTGTTTGTGCATTTCATAAAAAAACTTTTTCTTGACTTAATCGATATAACCATGAAATCTGCGAAAAAGAAATTATGGTTGAACTAATATTCAATGTAATATGAAACAGAGTTGCCCATGACGGCAGTGTCTTTCATTAGGAGGCTGTAAAATTATTTGAGTTTGCACTTGATTTGAGTTTATAGAAGTTCAACAGTCAGAATCATGATTAATCTGATGGATTCAATGTCACTCTGCTAGTTTAGCACAATATGTCAAGAAAATACTTATAAAAATAGGCAAGAACATTTACATTTGACAACTAATTTTTGCATCAGCATGATCGCAAAACTTATTACCCAATGGTTTCAGATCTAAACAAGTTCTTCTATTCGTGAATATATGTCTTACAATACTAAATTGACGTTTGGTTCAAGCATTTACTGCTAGAATCGAACGAATTCTTTTAATACACTCTCAAATAATAAGGTGAAGCATCAGCATTTGATTTTTATAATTTGAAAGTCAGATCAACAATTTTGGCTTAGCCTGACAGATGATACCTACCACTCAGCAGACTAGGTCAACAACTCCGCTATGTTGATGTTATTTAATAGAAGATAGGTGACTTATAATTATAAATCTATGCTTTCTTTTTCGTCTAAACCAATAAATAATTGAGAAATAATCTAGAAAAAAGGATATACAAAAATATATAAGCTCATTATGTTCAGTTGAGCTGATTGCATGTAGATGTATGCGCAAAACAAAATGATGAAGGAATAGTTAGAAGACAGATCACAACGTATTCTGACTGAGACACATTTTATTTTAGTATGTAGTGCAGCTATTAAGTGCCCATGCCGCACAAATCACTCGAAAACTATTGCTTAATCACTGTTAACCGTTTGGTGAATTGGTGCTTAATCGCTCGGTTAAATACAATTTTTCTGTTTGATTTGTTTTATACCTAACTGCATGAATTATTTTAAGCTCTTAGATAAGTGTTAGGCTTCAGTCAAAATCACGTTTTCTCTAAAAATGTGGACGCTTTCAGGCCTCCTATACCAATTACATCGACTGTTTTTATTTAGTTTTCGAGCTTGGTTATTTATTAAGGATGGCACCACAAAAATAGTCATTATCTAGAAGACTTCACCAATATGGAAAAGTATGGCCTCACCTATTATACTGTGGAATATTAAAGTCAACTTTTTTTTTTTTTTGAGTAGCAATCGGTCTCTTCAAGACAGAAAAATTCTAAAGGACATGATAAAAAAGAAGCAAACTATTTGAATCTTCGAGTTTTTATGATCAGCGGTCAACAGTTGGTTTCAATGAAAAATTGACGACATGAATAGATCGGAAAAAAATTATGGCTGTAATACATAAATGTTTACCCCCAACTAAAGCTCAAGATGCCAATAGACAGAGAACTGTGTGAATTACAAATAGACAACTATTACAAAACAGCACCTTGTTTTGTTGCTTGTAAATAAGACCAGTTTCGGAACTTTTTCAACGAGTCGTATATTCATCAAATTGACTATAACTGTCTGGTAAAACTATTACGCATTGGAAAAATCAGTTAGCACACTGAGAACTTACGATAATGACAGATTTCTTTTAAAGATAATTTTTTTTCTTTTCAAAACTTCTCAAAAAAATCTCTCTAAGCACGTCTTATCTCGTTTTTTTTTCTTAAATAGTTTACCGCCTATCCCACCATCCAAAAAAGCAGATGTTAATATGTTTCAAATCTTCGAATGTTCTGAAGGTGAACTTGAATATGAACAAGATGTACCTGGTAAAACAACAAAATCTTTTATCTAAAGAAATACATTTTATTTTATCTTCTAATTCTAGGTAAAATGATTGAACAATTAGAAAATGGTGAATCAATACCTGGTGTACATTGGGAAATTCGTATTAAATGTAATAAAGAAACAAAAATTGCCTATGGACCTTGGGCTGATCGACAAAGGTTATTTAAGAAATTTTTCTAAATATAAATTTCAATAAAATTTTTCATATCTAGAGAATTATTATGGCAATATTTTTTACCAACCATATATGAAGAATCTTTAATAACATCGGAACCATCAATTGGTCAAACAAGAATATTTAAATCAGTTCATTTTAAATTATTACTCAATTGTCCAACAACATTAGATCTTTATTTTATGAATAAAATGGTTTCATTGAAATTTTACATGACTTTTTTTTTCACTATTTAATTTTAAAATTTTTTCATAGAAACTTCAACAACTTCATATTGAATGCCCTTTGAAAGGTTCACATATTAATGTAGTGCTTCCATTTTCAACAAATCCTGATGGTTTTGATACATTTTTATCAATGAATATATTGCAACCAATAATTCGTACGAATCTGTCATTTTCACCATTAGCTCAAGCTGAAAATATTCTTGTATAGTATAATTTAAAATAATGAAGAAAATATAAATCATTTTTATTTAGATTAATGTTCATATTCATTATCCTCGTTTATGGAATTCATTACAAAATTGGCTTATTGATATTACTGCAAAAAAGCCTAAAGTCTATTTTGTTTTTGAACACAAAAACTTTTTTCAAGGTTTGAATATTTTGAATTTTCTTGGAAATTTTTCAGTCATATTTTGAGTATATCTTTATAGGTTTAATCAATGATTGGTCATCATCCTTACCACCTGATATATATTCATTTACACCATTTATTTATGATATAACTGTTCGTGGTGATCAAGTTGAAATATTAATTCCTTGTAATCAAGGAAATTGGATTGATTGTTCAAATGGAGGTGATCAAGAATCTGAAGAAAATAGTATTTAAAGAAAAAATTATTAATTTCTTTTTCTATTTCAAAATATCTTTTTTTTCTGTTCAAGATTATGTATCATTATGTGCTAAATCACTTTTATTAACTTATCCATTAGTATTTTCTGAATTTTGTCCAAAAAATACAGCAACGGATTTAACAATTGAAGTTAGTTTTTTTAAAAAAAGACAAAAAACAAAAATAAAATAATTTTACTTTTAGACTAAAGATATACTTGCACGTCTTGTTATACCACGAAGTAATCGAATGTATTATATTATAGAAGGACTTGATATGCATAAACGATTTTACACACCAGAAGGTGTTAAATCACAATTGTCATTATCTGATGCATTTGATAAACGGTAATTTACTATGAATTTTGAGAATTTTTTAAAGATCTAGACGACAGAATTGAATCGAAGAATCTTTCAAAAATGAGTCTCTATCAATGAATATAGCTGAGTATTTTATTCTTTTTTCTGAATAGAAATGAATATCGATCGTATGAAATTTCGTTTCTTCTTACATTCAATAATAAACAATTTTGACCACGATAAAATACCATCTTCATAAGTAACATTACTGAAATTTCAAGATTTTCTTGCTTATCGATGATTATTCCTTCGAAAATATTTATCCAACGTGCTTCTCGAAATAATTGTGCTTTCAAATATCTCTTAGAAATAATTCAAATTATTCTAGAAAACAGAATAGAAATCAGAGATCCTCATAACAGCTTAAAAAATCATTTTATCACCGTTCGAACTCATCAAACAAGTGCTTTCACAGTCGATTTTTTTTGCAAGCTTTTAAAGTATACAGATTAAACGACTACACTCATAAGCGATCGTACTACAAGAAAGTCAGTGTGGTTAATACAGCCTTACCATTACGTTCGCTTACTGTCTTCATACATGACGATCGTATACGGTCATGGAGATTAATGATCATAATACTGATGAGGAAAGATCATCAACTGTTCAGTCGCTTACTAGTCAAAACAGTGGATTATCGGTAATCGCCCTTGTTGATTCAAAATAGTCATATGATTTCTGTCGCTAGGCCTTCAAAGATCCAGTTTTCTCGAAAAGTAGTGTTTTATAGCGAAAAACGTTTTTTGATCTGTCTAGTTTATAGAGCGTCTTGACATTACAGTATGTTCTGTTATTATTTTTGAACATCTATAACATGCTATGCAACTCGTTGGGGAATTTCGAGTTCTGATCTTTTGAGATTCGGTGAGGGAAAAACTTCACAAGTACTTTATCTTAATTAGAGTTTTCTTTAGATTAAAACGAATATGGGTGAGACAGAAGTCTGTATTCCACACAAAAACTCTACGCCCACAGTCTAAAGTTTCATACGATACAAAATAGGAACAAAATAATCCCTAGAAAAACAAGTGCAAAATAATTCCTTCCCTGGCAATCATACACTGATTTTTTTTCTAGAATAACGAAAGGATAGATTATCATAATATAGCTTAAAATAGATCAAAAGTTGAATGAAAAATCTGGAATTAACTTGGTAATAAAACATATGAAATGTAAATGTTGAACGAAAACGGTGAAACATTATACAAATTAAAACTTTTTTACTTCTCTAGTCACATTTGTAATGGTCGAAATCGTGAAAAAATGTCTTTGATACTCAACCCAAGACATTCTACAAACTAGACGGATCAACCAAAATTTTTTTGCTGTAGAAGAGTGGTTTTCGAGAAAACTGAATCTTTGAAGGTCTAAAGGAAAAAATCATGTTGATAATCTGTATCAGCATAGTCGATTATCTATTATGTACTAGGTTTTGCTAAAAAGTAATTGAACTTTTGATGATCGTCCTTCATGAGCTGAGAAAACCAATAAAATACAATTGTATACGACACCATACGACTGTTTCTAGGCGCATACAGACTGTATATTCTTCGTTCAGAACAAATGTTAAAATCATTATTTCAAAAGTCAAAATACTTACGATAATCACACATGTTTATAGAAATAATCGTGTTCTTACAAAAAAAGACAATGATATCCTTCCCATTTCGTAATGCCCTGTCGCCGAATGATCTTCATCGTTGTATCCCTAAGTATCACTTTGTAGCGAAACAGGGCGATGTGATAGTGTGACTTTCGGATCTCTAATACAAATTACAAGAAAAATATTTCGTCTTCTCTAATGACTAGCAAAGAGTTGGTGCTGAATAAAATCGACAATAATCTTTCTCTCTTCCTCTACGTTGAGATTCTCTACAATAATATGTAACCAATCTTTTTTCATTTAAAGGGACGATTGTTTTGAATNCTTATACGTACAAAACAACATGTAAAAAATAGATCTGCCACGTCTGTGATATGGCGTTGCTAAGATGTCTGTAGAGCGAGAGAGCTCCAAATTTCCACAACTATACGTTAACACATTGTCTTTTTTAGATTAACTCGATAAAAATCCAAAATGTTCAAATTATAGAGGCGTTTACATTGGAATTTTTTACTTTAGATTAAGCATTTAGGAATCAGACAGTAATTTTTTTTAGAAAGATAAAAACGTAGTAATTTCGAGAAGAAAAATCTGGGCTTTGTTCAAGAATATTTTGAATGAATCTGATGGACCTAAATATTATTACACAGTATTAGAATCAATAGAGAAACAACGTTCTGTTAATGTTAAACCTGCAACAGAGAAAAGCCGTTCAACCCCAGTTGAATTAATTAGTAGCGAGAAAAAAGACGACGAGCAACAAATAATAAACATGGGAATTTGCGTTGATGATCTCTCTAGAATAGCAATAAATTTGATGATTTATAAGTATCTTCAATATTCATTGTCAAATATTTATCTAATTTATTATTTTTAAATGTCACTCTTGTAATTAATTTCGCTGCATATGCTTGCTGGGTATATATTCGATTTATGAAATAAAACTTTGATATCAAAGATAAAAAAAAAAGTACACAGGTCAGGTCGACTATGTTTTTTGAGCGATCTACCTGTCATTGACAGATAGACTTAGTAATCCAATTAAGACTCTACTAAGAACTATAGCTCATCATTAGAAGAAATCTTAGACCCATGTTAAGGTATAAGAGTTTGTATTCATACATGACTTTCTACTATAAATAACATACATAATTAATTGAGTATTATTGAATATTGTTTATTAAAAATAAAAAGTTACTAGAAGATAATCATGAAGATGATTATTACAAACAAAATAAAATAATTTATTCTTTCTCTAGAGTGAATCATCAAGTGTTGAATACAAATCAATACCTCCACCTTCATTACCCAGTCCATCATGGATTAATTTAAGTAGTCAAATGAAAATGCCTATACCAAAATCTACATTATTATGTACAACTTATATTCGTTATTTATCTCATTATCGTTCATCAACTTGGTCAAATATATCTTCATTTCCTCCATTGATTCAGCAAGATCAAATAAATCATCATCCATTACTTGATTTTAATTGTGTTTCACAAGGTTTTTCATGCTCATTTTTATCTGAACCTGTATCAACAATTCAATCACGTCAACAATATTCAACATATAACCGATCACGTTCAACAGCAACACCAACAATGCCTTCATTGAATTCATCAAGTATCATTGCAACTGAAAAAGAAATGTGTCTTCGATTTAGTGGAGCATTAAATATACTATTAACACCACTTATGCTTGAATGTATAACAACATATATTGAAACATGGAAAACATATGAACTACATCCAATGTCTGTTCTTGATGGTCTTCATGTTCAAGCTCAAACAACATCAAATTTTCAATCAACATCAATTGATTTATCATCAACAAAAATTTCTTTACAATTACCAAAAATAAATATTTGTTTATTACAAGCTGGTTTAGCAGAAGATCATGTTCAATTAACTGAATTACAAACACCAGTTGATATTGTTACAATGTCATTATTTGCTTTATCATGTAAACAAATACGAATGGAAACAATTTTATCTAAACGTGATCAATCAACAGCTGGTATTTTTAAAATTGAATCAATAACAGGACAATTTCGTCGATTTGAAAATAATTTTTCATTAATTGAAAATGTTAATATTCATGCTATACAATCTCAACGTTGTCGTTTACAATTTCATGTATCAAATGATACTCAAACACATTTACCAATTGGTAAAAATAGAAAAAATGCTGGTTTTGTTATGAATGAATTTGGTTTACAACGACTTTGTTTTAAATTAATTAATAATGCAGCTAAACAACAACAAGAAAGAACACATTCAATACCAATTGTGGCGCAGATTAATGAAATACAAACAAGTAAACCATCAACTAAACAAAAATCAAAAAGAAAACACTCATCTGAAGTAAGTTGATAAATGGAAAAAGAAAAAGTTCTTGACGTAATCCCTGTGGGTAGATCCTGTATGATTGGTCCAGGTTTAAAAATTCTGAAACCGTCAGGCTCTATCAGTTACATTGTGAACGTTCTACAGTAAGAACAAAAGAAAAAGTCAATGTAGTTCCCTATTGCTAGTGAAATTATGTCGGCAGGATGTGTTCTGGTTGTTTGAAAGTTTTGTTGCTATGGCATTCAGAATTTTGATAGAGATCAGTGAGTCAAAAAAATGAGGTGTCTTCGTGTTTCATCAATGAAATATAGCAGCTTCTAAAGAACATTTTCTTTAGTAAAGATATAATTCAATAGAAAGTTTATCTAATCTTTCTTTTTTCAAAAATTTTAAAATAGTAGACTTCTAAGTGTCATTTTAAGAACGAGACGTTGATCGTATATCATCAATGTCTGTCACAGTCTGTGATAGTCTTATGCCCACCATGATTGTGTGTTGTTCGATACATATTCACAAGATACTATGTTTAAACCTCAGTATCACCAACCATAGAATGATCCTTGACAAGTCACTAATAGCTGCTTGTCTTGAATCATTCCTTCGATAGTAGGCTGACTATGCCTAAGATTGCATCCTTCGCTTTATAATCGTCATAATTATAATATGGCAAGAGAAATTTATTTAAGTTATTATGTTAATAATTGAATTTAGTTCATATTTAAACAGAACAAAATTCGAAAATCTTTGAAATTTCTAGCCAGTACCTCCATCTTCTTCAACAACAGTTCCAACTGTCACAGTTTCACCAACACCAACTTCATTATCAAGTAGTGTATTCGATGGTTCAATTGATCATGTATGGATATCATTTCCTGAACCTCCACGTCATACACATTCAACATCAAATTTACTCAAACGATCGCATACTAGTTCAACAACTACTACACAAGAAATTCCAATGCAAAAAAGAAATCTTTCGTCATATACTCGTTATGATTGGAATTTTCTTTCAACATTATCACCAACTGTTCTTGGTTGGTTTTGTGTTATTGATCGTGTAAAAAAACCTTGTAATTACTTTATTAAAAACCGTGAAAAACGTCTCGATGCTATTCTAGCTTATTTTCTCATTGAAAAAATACAAGTATCAACTATAACACACAGTAAATTGTATATGTTATTTACACCTAAAACAAAATATCTTCTTTCACATCCTGTTTGTCAACTTGTTACAGAATTTCGAAAACATTTTAATAGAGATACACAAGTTAATATTAATCTTCAATCAAATACAATACCAGAAATAGAAATATTAAAACGAGGTATACGTGAATCATGTCGTGCTTGGGCTCAAACATTTAAATTACAAGCACAAACAGATATACGTATGAGTCGAATACCAACATCATCACCTTTTAGTAGTATACTATCAGCAAATAATAATGATCAAGAACAAATGACAGATGCTAGACAAACATCAACTATGGTCAGTCATTTCCAACATATTCGTGGACATGAATTTTCAGTAGGACAACCATCAGTTAAATCAAGACAACATCAAAGTGGAATAAATAATACAACGACATCGAATTCAACTGTTCGAAAACGTACAGCAGTACATAAAACTCGATCAAGTCCAAGTAATAAAGATACAATAATTGAAATGAATAAGATGTCATCATCGATACCAGAACGTCGACGTGCATCTAGTTATCTAGGTAACATTTTTTTTGTGTATATCTCAAAACATATATTGTAATCAACATGTTTACTAATGTATTACAATAACATTATTAGCTGATCTTGTATTTAAAGTAGATATTTGAGAAGCAGAAAGAAATAATTAACGTCAGTGATATTACATTTTAAATGCAAAAAATAGGGTAAAATTTCAACAACATCTAGCGAGAAAAATACAAGTGTAACAATACACTACTAAACATCTTGAATAAGATCGAATTGCTGGATCTTTGAGTTTCAAATCGATGCTAAACTTCGATCTGAACTGGTCTACTGGTACAGTGAACTCTCGTTATTCTATTTCATTTATAGTACTAGTGAAATGTTCTAATATCCGTGAAATAATTTATTCGAATAACAAGAGACTGATTTCCATAGAAAGAATTTTTTGTCTAACCCGTTGCAGCTATTTACACTGATAATCTCATCCTAATATGCATGTATACGCATGAGTGTATATCTAAATTATTATAGCACAATCCACAGGTTATGTAAACGTAGCATTTGATTCAGGTAAGATTTTCACATCGATAAGACGAGAGAAATTCCTGCTAATAAAATCAAATCAAGCACGGTTGCTTAAAAGAAACTTCATGCAAGTTCTATGCTTATTTTTACATACATTCAGAAAACGATACATATAAAATACATATACAATGGACATATTTGCATGATTTATATGCTGTAAATTTAAATGAAAACCAAAATATATGCATATATATTAATTTAATCGTTTTTGTTTGTTTTGTTTCTTTTTTTTTATAAAAGGTGATGCTCTACGGCGTCTTGAACCAACTGCTAATGTTAATAATACAGCTGGTTATAGACGATTAAGTATTGGTGGTAATGAATTTGATTTTGAACGAAATACAAATAATATTCGATCAAGTAATCGTACTCATGGTGATTCATTTAATGGAATAACTTATTATACAGATGCTAGTTCAGTTGAAGAATTATTTAAAATATTACTTGAATATGCTGGTGTAGAATTATCAGTTACATCATCAATTGAACCATTATTTGAAAAATTAGGTCAAACTGTTTTAGCATCAGCACAAATAAAACAATTTGATGTTAAAATCTTACCAAATGAACTTATTAATGATCCTCAATTGATAATACTAAATCCATCAGCTGAATTATCTATACTTGGTATAACAAATTTAAATGTTCATAGTGTTTGTAAACAATCACTTGAATATAATGAATTACATTCAGCTAACGTTCAAGCTGGTATACGTGTACAACATGTTAAACAAGAATTTAATTTATCATTATTACGTCTTGTTTATCAATTTTATACAGTTGTTGGTAATGCATTTGAATATATAAGTATGGATGAAATAGGTAAAACAGATACAAATATTGTTCAACAACAGAATGATTCATTAATAAATCCTTCACGAAGAACTACAATAAATGATATTGATAATTTTGCTCAAAGATCTTTTCATTTAAATACTCTTCATATTAATAATAACGATTTAATTAGTTCCGAAAGAGAATGTTGGAAAAAATTACGTGAACTTGTTGCTATATATCAAACATCAACAGATATAAAACAATTACCAATAATATTTAAACAACACAGAAGTCTTTCCGAATTATCAAATGATGATAGTTTAGAGGAAAGTAAAACTGCATCATTTCAATTAGTACAAAAAAATAATGATGTAACAAATGAAACACTTTTACTGTCAGCATTTGGTTGGTTAATTATTGATGAAATATATTATGCAGCTTCATTAGGTAGTCTTAAAGTTGATGGTTGTATAGGAAAGGTTCAAGGAAGTATTTCATTATCGCAAAGACTTCGAGCTTTACAAGCAAATACAAATAATCATAATTCAAAAAAGTAAACAAAAATAATTTTTGATTTGACCATTGATTAAATATGCTAAGAGGGCGCATTTCGAAAGTAGTGACAGTGGTATCTTAATTACTAACTCTTTCTTTATATGGTCTAGTAATAAAAATAATTATAGTAAAACAAAACAAAAATAAGTTCATCAAATTTTTCTTTCATTAAATGTTCGAAATAATCGTCCTGATTATTCATACACTCAACTGTATTTGTTGAATCCATTTGTTGAACGTTTTGTTTTTAAATACTCTTCTTTATTGAAAAAATTTATGAACTTGTTTGCAGCATGATGCAATGATTTGAAGTTGTATTGATCGCTTAGATTTTGTTTGATTAAGTCAAATAACTAAAAATCATATGGGGCTAGAGCTGGAGAAATACTTAACCAAAAATATTGATGAATTTTTTTTGTATTGGTTTCTCTATTATACCGACACCATATTTTCTTTACCTTAAGAAAGCATTTGAGAAGAAGAACAAAAAGAATACCAAATAGAAGATACATATCGAAGATTGTATTTCATCGCCGAAACTGGCGACGAACAAAACATCACCGAAATAGAGATCATCAAAATGAGGATCACTGAATTCCATTCGATCATTTATACTTGTGTGTTTCGTCTCAGCAATCGATCCTTAAGTTCACTCTTTCTGAATATTTATTTTTCATCTAGCTTCTATTCAACTATAATGAGTGCATCAGAAATTAGGACCTGATCTTTTCTTAGTTGCTAACTTAACGTACGAGACTTCTGCCTAACTTAAGTTAGTTATTAACTTCGTACATCACTGTAAGTACAGTACTAAATACAACTTGTGGGTTACGTGAACTTTGGTTCAGTCTGAAATTCCAGTGACTTTTCGACTTAGGCTCAAATTCCTCGATTCAACTTTCCAAGTAGGATGACATAGTTCTGAGTAATCTGCTTTGGTCCTATTAGAAGTCCTGTGCACTTTTGAGATAATTATTACTTTGTATAGAATACGTGCCAACGTAAAGAGCGCAATGCTCAATAGGAGTAACAAGTGATGCACCTCTGATTCACTTTCAACTAATCAGTATTTCTTCATAAATATTATCAAGTTGTCGACGCCATCTTGCTGAACTGAACTTTGAAACTTTAGTTTGATCTAAATGCTTGCTGTTAATAAGTACTCTTAACGAGAATGAGCACTACTACGCACTATAGAGTGTACCAAGCCTAGTGGCAGATACAAGTTTAGAGCAGCCGTATTTTTGAGTTTTCTTCTCGATGATAATAGCTAAGAAGAATTTGAAAAAAAAACATTTGAATAGTTGAAAGAGTTCTCTCGAAGGATTAGTCAATCTAATCATTCCAATAAAACTGGTTGGATAAGGATATCGTCTGAAAAACCATGACCCTAAAAAAACAGTTTTCTAGTATTCATTTGAAGCTTTTTCCAAACGATTTTGTTTGATAGAACAAAATGAGATGTCTCGATTCTCTACATGACCTTCATTCATGGAATCGTATTCAATCTATAGAAGACCCTAAAGTGTCAGACAGTGAAATCATCGAAATTTTTCATAAAATGAAAAGAAAACTGTTTCGTGAGTCTCCTATAAACTGAGCGCAGTTCGGTGAATGAACCTCATGAAGAGAGCTGAGTCACCTCATTTTGCTCTATGGAATAAAATTATTCCGAAAAAAACTTCAAATCTGATACCAGGCTACTGATTTTGGAGGTCTGAGTTTTCCAGATATCTGCATCCAAGCAGTTTTACTCGAATTTTCAGATTCAAAAGTTCTGATATAGAACTCTTTGAGCTACTCAAGTGTTTTCTTTTTCAGATACTTCCAAGCGATTATCATCAAGAAGAAAACTAAACATTAAACTTCTCAAGACTTTTATCCACCACTATATTTACAGAAATAAGGATTTTCTTGGGAACTAATGAGAGAAAATTGGATTCAGCTCGAAATTCTGACGTCTGCAACTAACATCACTGTACATAATATTAGAAAGGTATCATCTTAGAATATCACTGAAAACAAAACATTACCGAATTTTGGCAAATTTCATTTCGATTATGTGACTTTCAGCAAAATACATACTGACCTTAGTTGGAGAATGATCAAATATCACAGAAACCTATAGCATTGTTTTTATTATTAGATCATACAGAAAGAAAGTTTCTTTAAACTTTTTATAAAGAACTAGCATTTATTCGTTAATCTTTTCAATAATGTTTTTTTTTTAATTCTTTAATATAGGTATGATGGATCATTAATTGTTCAACTTGGTTCAACTTCTCTTTCTCTTAAAGAAACTCTTTCAACTTCTTCAGATACTCTTCTTAATAATAGTACTTCTTGTTTAAATGAAACAGCTTCTAATACATCATCATCAACTCGAGAAATATCTGTACTTGATATTATTGTTGGTAAATCTCGAGCATTAACATCTCTTCAAACTCGTAGTATGAATTTAAGATTAAGTGGTGTAACAAATATAGGTACAATTGCAATGGATGTTCCATTACGACCACAAGAAGTTCATGATTTAGTTAATCGTGCAGGTCGTTTAATAACATCATACGTTCAAGAATTTCTTCCTGATGATACACCAGAATCATCTACAATAATTCCAAAAACTAACGATGAATTAGAACAAATAAATACAAAAATAAATGATACAGTTCAAGTTATCAATCTACCAACAACATCTGAACAAATTTTGGAAAAAAACCGTTTACATGTTCATCGTAAACAAAAATTATCATCACATTTACCAGCTGATGTTTTACAAACTCAAACAAGTATATCATCAGTATCAAAAAAACCTATATTTGAAGTTCATATAATAGCACATTGTCAAGGAATGACATTTTCTACAACACTTTTATCAACACTTAAAGCTCAATATAAAATTGGTATTGTTGAAGGTGTTGCAAATCTTGGTACAACAACATCACGTTTTACAGCTATTGTTCATGAACATGCATTACATTTTTTAAATAATAATAATACAAATAGTTTACATCAACTTCCAACAGTTAGTTCAGATAATCATGTACGAATTGATTTTCCACAAATACGTTGTTATGGAAATTATATTATTGAACAAGAACAAAATAATAAATCAAAGGGACATTTAAATATTCGTACAAAAATTGATTTACTTAAATTAACTATAACATCCGATTTTCTTGCACAATTAGTTTTTGTTTCAAAAGTAATTATACATGAAATAAATGAAATACTTGCTAAAGTATCAGGTGTTGATCAATTTCAATTTCGTCCAACTGAATCAAAACCTAAAGATAACAATTTAACAATATCAGATAATAATAATAATAATAATAATGATAATGATTTTAATTATGATGATGATGAACAAGAAAAAATATCCACAACACTAATTATATATAAAATAAATATATTAATGAAAGGTTTTCAAGTTATTGGACAAACACCATCAAATACAATTGTTAAATTTGAAAATGGTGACAAAAAAGTACCTATATCCATTAAATTAACAAATTATGATGAACAAAATTCATTTTTATTATATAATAAACCATTAATTAATGCTTTATTAAATATTAAACTTAGTTTAGGACAATTATTACATACTGGAAAATTTCAAGATGCAGCTTATTTTAAAACAAAATTACTCTTAAAAAATTCTTTTCAAGTAAGTTATACGAAATATTTCGATCAATACAGAGTTTATCAAATAATTCTAACTAATCTTAATGAAAATTTCAATCGGCAGTGGTAAAAAAATCACTATTATAAAAATATAAAAGTTTTAAAATCTGTCATGCAAAAGTAAATAGCATGTTTTACTCTGCAAAATTGGGCCATTACAAAATTGTTTTGCATTTTGAATTTGAAAGACTTCAATCAAAATAGAAAATTGACTAAAATAATATTCTTTGTAAACCACTATTTTTAAATAACCTAATGATAGTTGTCTAATCTAACTCAGAAGGAAACTGCATACATATTCGGAAATAGTGAAAAATTCTGATTCTGATATGAATCAGTTGTCCTTAACGGATAGTGAGACAAAGACATCCCACTTTTTTCTGTTCGGTCTTAGAACTATAATAAACTAGGATAAATGACTCTTATAGAAAGAAGGATGATACTACATTGATACAGTTCATATTTGGCTACTCAATGATTATCTGTTTCTTCAACAGAAAGTTTTGAAAAAGATTATTATCAATTCGCATTTCGAAAAGAGACTTGATGGAACAGATCAATAGTGCTGATGTCATGTGTAGTGCTCCAGTTATTGTTGACGTGATCTTCGTGCATGATAATCTAGCTCAAGATTTATCCGACTGCATCGACAAAATTTCCCAAATTCAATTGTTAAAGGGTTAAGTGACCGAAAAATGAGCTAATGTTTTCTTTTTGTCAAAAATTTTGCATCATAAGTTATATTTTAAAGGATTTATTTCTAAAATAAAATTCGATAACTTTCTGTTTTTGTTTCGTTCTTTAAGCTTGATGATCTTGAAAAAAAAGCTTATTTTATTCGTTTAATTAAACCAAGCTTCTATTGGCAATCTGGTGCTATTGATAAAGGTAACTTCAATGAATTCTTCTTTGACGTAAGGAAAACAATAGTTAAATTTTCATTAATAGGAATTCTTTTTTGGTTAAATTATAAAAATACATACGATTATTGGAATGAACAACGTGGGGCATTTACAACCCCAACAACTGATTCAACACATATACGTTCATTAGTTAATGTTCAACCATCACCAGCAAAGAACAATGAACTTAATCTTATGTTTCAATTACATATTATTGATTTAGGTATTGCAATACCACTTCAACAAATCGATCAACCAACAAAATTATCAACAACAACAGATAATCAATCAAATCAAATATTAAATCAACGACAAACAGCAACAACATATGATGAAAGTAGTGATTTTCTTGTATTTACACTTGATCAAACAACAATATCTGCATGTTCATGTGGTGCTATTATAAGTTCAGGTTCATTTGAAGGTTTTTGTTTTCGTTTCGCAGAAAATTTTCAACAAACAAATCCAAATTGGAAACCAATACCTTCTTCAACATCATCATCAAATGTTATTTTAAATGCATGTTGTGTACCAAGTGGACAATACTCAATGCATTCACGTGCTAAACATATTGCAAATTCAACTAGTCCAAAATGGTTTTTAAATGTTCAATGGGATATGAAAGGTATTGATATAAATATTGATTCAATTATAAGTAAACGTTTTTCACAATTAATACGAACAATAACATCAACACAATTAATTGAACATAAGAGTCATATAAATAATGATGATGATTTATCAAAAAATTCAAATTCAAGTCATACACAAAATGGTAGTACAATGAATATTAATGATATTAAAGATCCAAGTGAAGATGATGAAAGAAGAAAAAGATTAGAATATGAATATTCTATATTAGGACAAAAGATTACAACATTACAGTAATATATGATTATAAGTTTGATTTTTCAGGGATAATAGGAATCATTTTTCGTTCAGCTCTCTGAAAATCTTCATTTGAATGCAAGTATTTGATTACAATTCTTAGACATATGCAGAATCGATAGCAAAATTTCAGGCCTTTAGATCTTATTCATCGTTGTATTTGTTTAATTTTACATAATGATTTGACGTATAAGTACGACTCTTATATGAATGACAAAAATCTAATATAAGATAAAACTAGCTTGTTTCACTGCAGCCCAAACCCAGCTTATGTTTCCTATTAGCTGATGATCAATTCAATACTTTTTCGAAGTTTGCTTTGTCAATGAGAAAATTCGAACTCATATCGAGAATAATGTTGACTAATTTGAAAGAAATGACAAAAAAATGTGGAAACCTCGGACTTAAGTCCGAGAGTTATGTGTACTTCAAAAAGTGAATGAGACAAATCAGTCATCATAGAATGCGTGGATATACAAATTAGTTTGGGAAACCTTTCCTATAAACATTTGAATTCTATTGACTACTGCTCAACCAATAGGGTTTGAGGGCGAATACAGCTCAGATTTGAACTCTTCGCCTTAATTTACCCTCGGAAAGTCGTTTTTCCTATAACTTGATTTCTATTGGTTCCTGCTCAACCAATGGTATTTCAAGGCAAGTGAATGACAGATTCGAGTTCTCCGCCCCAAAAAACCTCGAAGTATCATGTCCGTGATCGGAAGGTAGAGCTCCATTGTCGGGTCAACTAGAGCGTGGAAGAAAACAGAACCTATTTCCGTCTGATTATCTTGGCAATAGATCAGTTAGCCTTCGTGTTGCTTTATGTTTCATATACCCTTGTGTAGCCCGTGG